AGGAGAGCTGGGGAAGCAGAGATGGATTTCGCTCCTGTGGCCCTTGTCTGTGGCGTGTAGAAGACAGTTATTTGTGGGTGAATTAAAAACAGTGGCTGATAGGTCTGGCTTTCCTTTTCTCTCCTCGGTCTGAGGAATTGAGAGTTGTCTCGAGCCGGGAAGCCTCTGCATGGCAGACCTATAACCTGTATAACAGCTCCTATGTACTGATTGCTTACCATGTAAAGAATTTAGCCGAGGTCTGATGTCATCTGCTCTATTACTCCACGAGAACGAAACACATGAAGATAGGTATTCACTCTTACTGCCTTTGTTTTATAGATGATCTCGTCTAGAAAGGCTGAGGAACTTGCTAGAGTCGCACTGTTAAGAAGGGAGACGGCACACACACTGTAGCCTCCTCTCTGTCAGGCTCAGACAGCATCGTATTCAGTAAGTATTCATTGTGCACCTAGTATGTGCCAGGCATGATTCTAGATGCTTGGGGGTAAGTTCATGAACAAAACAAAGACGTGTTATCATTGAACTTACATTCTAGCAAGGGAAAACAGCCACTAAACATCGTAGGTAAATTAGAATGTGATAAATATTCCTGGAAAATTTTAGAGTAGGATGGAGGATCAGCAGAGGTGGTGATAGGATGACCAGGGTGGGCCTAAATGAGAAGGTAAGATTTCAGCAAAGACTTGAGGAGGTGAAGGAATTAGCCAATTGGATATCTCGGGGGAAAATATCACAGGGAGAGTGGAGTAAACCAAGCATGTCAAACTCGTGGCCATTGGGCCACAGGCCTCGTTTATTTAAAGACAGGCTCAGTTCAGGTAAAGGTTGACCTTGTCAGTGAAGATACGGCTTAGGATGTAACTACCCACCATAACTGCTTTTAGTTAAAGTTTAATTTCAGAGGATCCTTTGTGGTTACTTTAGGTCTCTGAGTTTGCAAGACTGCCATGCAGGCCTTCCCTGAGCTTGTCAGGTTAGCATGTGGCCCCTTTCGTCCACACTTCAAATCCTTTTTTGGGGGGACTAAGTGGGTCCAAAATAAACAATTAGAAGAGAGTAGCTGAAACTCTAGTGGAGATGTGGTAGGCAGATAGACATGAGCAGAGCAAGAACGACAGGCCAGTTACAGAAAGTCACGAGGGCAGACCGACCTGGACACCTAGCAGTGAAAAAAAACTGGTAGAGCAGATATTGGAGATATTCAAGATCTTGCCCCGAAGATGATGTCCTCTCCACCCTAGATTGGCAGGTATTGGAGATAAGTATTGTTATTCAAGAACTTGCCTCTTAAGCCCTACTCCACCCTAGAACGCCTAGGGTCATGCAGGTCAGATTCCCATGTGGTTAGTCATGTGGTAGGCCCCCACCCTTAGAGGAGAACTAGGGATGAAGGAGAGCTCCATCTGACTCCCCATGCAAGGACTGCGGGCCATCCACAGGACAGGCCCTAATAGGTCAGTTGGAAGAAAAAAGCAGTTAACCCCCCTGGGAAGGATGGGATGAAAAGGAGCCCTACCCCACTCTCCAGGGCTGCTCTTTGAGGCCCCCCCGCTGGAAATTTCTCTCCAGTGTGCTTTCTCTTTGCTTGCCCAAAAAAATCTCTAGCGAGTTTGAGTCTTGGCTCTGAATTATTTTCTTGGCCAAAACTCGAGTACTGAGGTTGCGCGGAACCCAGGATTGGTCTGATTCACTGGCCAGACACATGGTGCCCTTCCGCCGCTCACAACAGAGCGATTGATTGACAGAGAAGTGGAAGCGCTTTGCAGGACAAACAGGGGTGTTTGTCTCACAGGTGAGCTGGCCAAGCTGTTGCTTCGCGTGCTGTTGACAAAGGCCCGACCACTTGTGGGTGGGCTCACCTGCCTTTTAAATGTTGGGCGCCCACGCCGCGCGCCCCGCCACGAAAGAGCTAGTCTGTCGCCAGCAGGACAAACAAGACACAAAAACCGCGGCGGACTCTCGCCCTCTCCGCTTGGCTACGCTGAGCCCTCACCGGCCGCCGGAGGCAGAGTCCAACGGGGGGGGGTCGGAGACTGCGGGGTGCGCGCCCCCAGCCCCCGGGAGGGCAGCGGAGGAGGGCAAAGCCCCGCCCCCCCAGGAGGAGCACCAATCCGGCTCGTCTGCCTCTTTCTCAACCTTCAGTTAGCTTCCAGCCCGTCTTCATCACGCCAGACCGATCCTGCCGCCGATTGGTCGGCATCTTCCTGGTGCGAATCGCCTTGGCCAATCAGCGCTTGTCAGTCCACCTCACAAGCCCGCCGGAAGCGGCTCGAGAGCCCGAGGCCCGTTAAGATGGGCGGGGAAGTGGGCGTGGTGGCGCCGCGCTGGGCCCGCCCCCGCTCCTGCCCCGCCCGCCGCGCCTCCCGTGCCTAATCCTGGTGTCGGGTGCGATCCGAGGTATTAGCCAGGTGATCACCGAGGCGTCAACATGGAGTTCGTGAAGTGCTTGGGGCACCCGGAGGAGTTTTACAACCTGCTGCGCTTCCGGATGGGGGGCCTGTATAAGGTGATACCCAAGATGGACCAGGTGAGTTGAACATCCCTGCATCCCTGCCCCGGCGGACCCAAAATCGGGGGCGAGGGGCGCGGCGAGGCGAGCGGGTGCCGGACGCCTCAGGCCCCCGCCTGCCCTCCGGAGCAGACCCCCGCCCCGGCAGGGGGCCCCACCCGCCCAGCCAGGTTCCTCTTCTTTACTCCACGTCGCGCCCAGCCAGGCTCGGTCTCCCACGCAGGCCTCCTCTTCTCGCCCCGACCCTCCTCCCCAGATGCCCTACTGCTAAACATGTTTCTACTCGGTCAAAGCATTGGTTTTCGGGTAGTTTTGCTTCAAATTGTATTCTTCACATTGATGTTTATCTGTGTTCTAATCCCTGGTTTACAAAACAGGTTGTGTGGGTAATTTCAGTGGGAGAGGACCTGGGATAGGACCGTGTGAACAAAACGTACTGTGTTGATATTACCAATGAATACATTTTCTAGATTCAAACCTGACCCATCGTTCCTGTTTTCTGCCCTGCCAGCTCTTGCAGAAGCTTCCCTCACTTCCCTGCAGCCTGGTCAATCCCTTCTTCCCCAGTCTTCCTAGGTTTTGATAACCCTTATTTACTCCTCCGAGCTCTTAGTACATAGTTGCCTGCGTGTCTGTTGATTCACTGCATTGTTGGCTTCTTGAAGGCTAGACCTGGTTTTACTTATATTTCATCTGCCTCATTCCTGTACCCTTTGCTAAGTGAATGCTTACAAAGGTATTTATTCCAACAGGAAAACTATTCTGAAGTGATTATTGAATGAATAAACACCTTCAGCTGAATTCGTGGGTTATAGCAAAAGCTTTAAATTCTTTTCCGCAATGGCAGTATCCCAGGAAATACTATTACTTGTTTAAATGTACCCTTACTTGGTGTCCTTCATTAAAACACTTTAATTTTCCATCAGAACATTTTTTTCCCATTTGTCTCATGACTTAGAACCCTCATCTTTCAAGGTCCAGCTTCCGTGAGTGCCACCTCTCTTAACCATTCAGCGGTCATTTATTAAACACCTGTTCTGTGCTAGGCATTGTAGAGGGTGCAGCATGGCAGGCTGGTGTGTGTAGACCAGGGGTCCTCAAACTTTTTAAACAGGGGGCCAGTTCACTGTCCCTCAGACCGTTGGAGGGCCAGACTATAGTTAAAAAAAAACAACTATGAACAAATTCCTATGCACACTGCACATATCTTATTTTGAAGTAAAAAAACAAAACGGGAACAAATACAATATTTGTATTTGCATGTGGCCCGCAGGCCGTAGTTTGAGGACCCCTGGTGTAGACAAATAAGACACTCAAAGAACTCACCATCTTGTCAGGTCAATAAAATGTTAAAAAATTGTTCACAGAAAACTTACGAAGGCACCATCATGAGATGCCTTTTCATGTCACCTGTGAGCCTCCCTTAACCATTTTCTCTGGCACTATTTTACCTTCTATCAGTCCCATAGTCTTGCATTGTGGTTATTTGTGTATTGGCTTTCTGTTCCCCAAATCCCTTTCAGATTTAAGATTCTGGATTTTAAGCAATTTGAAAATAGAAATCTTGTTCAATGTACCTTTAGTGAATTAATGAACAAAAGGTAGGTGTGCACTGCTCTCAAACGTCTAGCTTTTTAAACAAGATAAACATCAGTAAATGTGGCACATAATTCTAAAAGCCCTAAGGAAATTCACAGAAGTGAAAAACCACTTTTGGCTGGGATAGGGGATTAATCTTCTGAGGAATGCCTAAATGAAATGCAGCTTTAAATTGCTCTTGTGCCTTGCTCAATAGATATTTGTTTAATTAGAGATTCTTACTAAGAGTATTTATTTGGAGCTTTCCTGAAGTTGTTTGCAAATGTTTATGTTATTGTAACTTTGCGTGAGGGGAGGGGGAAGAATGGTGTCCACTATTATCAGATTCTCCCAGGGATCTGTGACATAAAACAAATAGTCACTGCTTTACAATCCAGGTTGTACAATCTCCTGAACACCTGTGACAGATAATTCACTACCTCACAGGTCCACCCACTCCATCTCCAGACAGCTCTGGCTTTTCGGCAGTGTTACTTTAAAGTGAGCTGAACTTCCACTCTTTGTTCCCTCTCTGGAGCCAGAGAGT